AATGACTGTGGCAAGAACGGTCATAAAATGGGGCAAAACTCGTGGAACCCATGTCTCACTTAGCAGCAGAAATGTTGCGCTCTCTTGTGGTCGTAAGACGAGGACTACCCGTGCTTGCAAGATACAGGAGGCTCGTCCACCAAGGCCAGTATTTTCCCTTCCCACCTTTGTGGTCATTCGTGAAAGTAATCCAGCTGATCTCGCTGCGTAAGTCTCTCTTACAGACATCAAATATTTACAAGGTTCAGGGATTCCGGTTACGCAGTCACGGCTGCGTGGGAAGCTGCAGAGGATAGATTTCCATCCTGAAAAGGTAGCCGACATGCAAGGACCGTTTTTAAACCAGGGGTCCCCAACGTGTGGGCTGTGGCCCACTACCGGGCCGAGGCCTGCTGGCCACCGGGCTGCAGGACAGACAGGCCAATGCGCGCACTCACACCCCACTCATGCTAGCACTGCCACTACGAAAACGAGGTGCTGTGCAGTGAAAACGGGGCTCCATACGGCAAAAATGGGGCTCCACGCACCGAAAACGGGGCTCCATGCGATGAAAAATGGGGCTCCATGCGGTGAAAAATGGGGTTCCGTGTGGAGAAAGTGGGGCTCTGTGTGCAGAAAAATGGGGCTCCATGCACCAAAAATGGGGCTCCGTGTGGTGAAAAATGGGGCTCCATGCGGTGAAAACGGGGCTCCATGAGAAAAACGGGGCTCCGCACAGCAAAAACGGGGCTCCGTGTGGAGAAAACGGGGCTCCATGTGAAAATGGGGTTCCGTACGGCGAACATAGGGCTCCGTATGGCAAAAACGGGGCTCCATGTGGAGAAAATGGGGCTCCGTATGGAGAAAACGCGGTTCCATGTGGAGAAAACGGGGCTCAGTGTGGAAAAAAGATGGCTCCGTGCGGTGAAAACGGGACTCCGTGTGGCAAAAACAGCTGTGTGGCAAAAATAGGGCTCTGTATGGCAAAAACGGGGCTCCGTGTGGAGAAAACGGGGCTCCATGTGGAGAAAACGGGGCTCTGTACTGCAAAAACGGGGCTCCGTGTGGAGAAAACAGGGCTCCGTGTGGAGAAAACAGGGCTCCATATGAAAATGGGGTTCCATACGGCAAAAACAGGGCTCCATGTGGAGAAAATGGGGCTCCGTATCGAGAAAACGGGGCTCCGTGTGGAGAAAACGGAGCTCCGTGTGGAGAAAACGGGGCTTCGTGTGGAGAAAACGGAGCTCCGTGTGGAGAAAATGGGGCTCCGTGTGGAGAAAATGGGGCATGTATACGTGTGTGTGTGTGTCCGTGTGCATAAAATGCTTTCCCCTCCCTTTCCCTCCGGTCCGTCAATCGAGAAAAGTTGGAGACCTGCTTTTTCAACTACTAACATGAAAAAGAAATGTAAATATTTTTATCAGCAACATATTGTCCAGGTTCCAACGTTTAGTTTACTAATACATGTTAAACTCCTTTCTCTCTACCTCGTTTTTTTCTAGCCATTGATCAGGTGTGTCCCATATTCTAAAATATTCTGACTTTTCTTTCTCCTTCCTTTTCAGAGTCAGTCTGTCCATTTCTGCACAGTCCAAAATTTTCTTAATTATCTCTTCCTCCGCTCCTAATTCTTCATCCTTCCAACATTGAGCAAATACAATTCCTTGCTGCAGTTAACACGTATGTAACATTAAGTATACACATTCCTTCCCACAATTTCCTACAATTATGCCTAACACAATTCTGACTTAAAATCAATGTGTTTTTGGGTCATTTTCTCCAACCGTAGATGTATGCTTGACCAAAATCTTTTGACTTTAGGGCATGTCCACCAAAGATGATAACATCTGCCTGGTTTTTGTCTACATTAAGCATTTGTGACTATAAAAAAGTACTAAAATATTGGGAAAAAAAGAAATAAAAACGGGCAGTTGCCCGTGGCGTGGCGGGAGTGTGCAGTGACACTGGCAACGTGGCACAAATCTCTTACACCGGAATTGTGTGTTGCGTTTACCCACCCACCCCCAATGTAGGGAGAAATTCCACCACCAGCCGGGGTGCTTTCGGCATTGCCGTGTCTGCGTCATTGTCTCTGCCACGCTGGGCCACGGCAGATGGGCAGATGGCATTGGTGGGCACAGACTGGACAACCCCCCCACACACACACCCAGGGTGCAAATGTGCAGGAGGCCCGTGCCTGGGTGTGCAATCTGTGGGGCTGGCACACATATCCCCCCCCTTTCCCCCCTTCTTCCTCTGGATTATTTTGCAGCGGTCTGGCACAATTGCTATTCTAATCTCCCTGTCCTTAAAGGAGCTTGTGACTTCATCTCTCGCTGAGCCCTTTGTCTGTCTTTGTGTGTGTGTGTGTTTGTGTATGCGTCCTGCAAAAAACGAAATCAGGCCAAGTCACTCTCCATTAAGAGCAGGGAAGGAGAGAGGTGGGGAGGGGAGGCCTGTCGGAGCCCGTCCGGTCCTGTCCTGACCTCCTGACGCAGGAGAGGGACTCCGGAACAGCTTGGAGGGTCGGTGGGTGGGTGGGTGGGAACAGAAAATCCCCCCCAGCCCCCGTTTAGGATTTGCAGCCGTCTCACGAAGGGAGATTCTCTTGGGTAAAATTCATGGATGGATCCCTTGAAAACGGCTTTGCTTCCTGGAGCTGTGGGCGCAACGTCGCTGAAGCTGATCAAAGAAAATTTGGGTCTATCTATCTATCTATCTATCTATCTATCTATCTATCTATCTATCTATCTATCTATCT